CAGAGTGTCCCACAAGAGTGTCCTACAAGAGTGCCCCACAAGAGTTTCCTACAAGAGTGACCCACAAGAATGTCCTACAAGAGTGTCCCACAAGAGTGTCCCACAAGAGTGTCCTACAAGAGTGTCCCACAAGAGTGTTCCACCGTGTCCTATAAGAGTGTCCCACGAGAGTGTCCTATCAGAGTGTCCCACAAGAGTTTCCTGCAAGAGTGACCCACAAGAGTGTCCCACAAGAGTGTCCTACAAGAGTGTCCCAGAAGAGTGTCCCACAAGAGTGTCCCACAACAGTGTCCCACTAGAGTGTCTCACAAGAGTGTCCCTTAAGAGTGTCCTACAGGAGTATCCCACAAGAGTGTCCCACAAGAGTGTCCCACAAGAGTGTCCTATAAGAGTGTCCCACAAGAGTGTCCCACAAGAGTGTCCCACAAGAGTTTCCTACAAGAGTGTCCTACAAGAGTGTCCCACAAGAGTGTCCTACAAGAGTGTCATGTAAGAGTGTCCCACAAGAGTGTCCTGCAAGTGTCCCACAAGAGTGTCCGACAAGAGTGTCCTACAAGAGTGTCCCATAAGAGTGTCCTAAATGAGTGTCCCACAGCAGTGGCCCACAAGAGTGTCCCGCAACAGTGTCCTGCAAGAGTGTCCGACAAGAGTGTCGCAGAAGAGTCTCCTACAACAGTGTCCCACAAGAGTGTCCTGCAAAAGTGTCCCACAAGAGTGTCCGACAAGAGTGTCGCACAAGAGTTTCCTACAAGAGTGTCCCATAAGAGTGTCCTAAATGAGTGTCCCACAGCAGTGCCCCACAAGAGTGTCCCGCAACAGTGTCCTGCTTTGAGGTGTGGAAGTGCGATTTTCGTGGCAGGCGCAGGGAATCGTGAGGGTGCGAGGTGTGACGGAGGTCACATGTCGTGGCAGGCGCAGGACTTTGGCGGCTGCCGTTTTCTATTCTACTCCTTTCAGACGCGCTGGCGTTGGCAGCTGCCGTTACCCCTACCACGTCGCTGATGATGCGCTCGCAGCGACCACATGTGTCACAAAAAGCTTATGTTTGCGATGACATCGTGCTGGGTTAAACGTGTGATTCATTCGGGTTCGTGGGTTCCATCTTGTTTTTTTGCACCAATGCATCACCCGTTCACACCCGCCATAGCTAGACCAAATTGCCATATTATCCTGGCAGGATTGCATTAACTTTTAACTGACAAGGAGGTGTTATGTGCACAACCCATCTCCCCTCAATTCTTTTTCGTGCCTGCTGTTTGCTGTTTGCTTGTTTGCCACCTGCTAGCTTTCTTGGCCTGATCCATGATGCTGATAGCTGATAGGATGGAATAACGCATTCGACATTCACCAGCATTTTGATTCTTACTCAGATGGTTGCCACTTCAGTCAAGGCAAAGTGACACAACACCCTTTCTGAACACTGCTGGATGGGCAGACTGTCAGGACCGCGGATCTCAGGGCAAATGTTTGTAGAGTCTCAGTGGAAGTCTCCAACAAGTATTCAAAGGATTCGAGACTAGGAGGAGGGTGTGTGAATGCGGAACCATTCCTGACACGAATTGTCATGCAATCTAGGGCACAATGTCAGCTTGTGCGGCTGTTGCCTGAGGAAGCCATCTATGCTACAGCTTCATACCACATAGCACCTGAGAGCTCTTGCAGTGCTCAGTTCGAGGATTTTAGACGAGCAAGTGATCCCCAGTTCGAAGGGTCTGAGTGTGTCTGGGCTGGTCGTGGTCATCAAGGTCTGAGTGTTCAAGAGCCGTGGCCTTTGTGTCGCTCACCTACCTCGTTATGGAGCTTGGGCTCGACTATGGAGCCTTGGCGACTGGGCTCAGCAGCGGCAAGCGCAAGCGGCGCAAGCAGCATTGCGTCAATGGCGTCGATTGCTTCGGTGGACAGTGCTCTTGGGACTCACTACCGCGAGCCAATAGATTCCTCGCATTTGGCAGAGGACTCGTCAAATTTGTCATGGTGCAGTGCGCAGCTTGCACCAGAGCTGGCTGATAGTGCCCGAAAGGCCTGGGCAGTCGAGCTTGGAGAAATTAGAGAACTAGAAAGAGAAAGTCAAGGAGAATTTGGAGATCCTTTAGACTTGGAAGCGTTCGTTCTGTCAGAAAGTCGTTCAAGTCCGACAGAGCTCCTTCCCTTTGGGCTTTTAGATTCACCTTTGAACAGCCCCAGCTCCCGCAATGAGTCAAGTGAGCTGAAGACATCGAAGACTCCGATTCTCGAATGCACTGAGCAGTGTGGTAGTTCAGAGATCAGTCTATCCATCACAAGTAGAATGAACATCTGGAGAATGAACATGCCATTTCGCAATTTCGCATCTTTTGGATCCACTTGCTTGCTTCCAAGGAAGCCGCGTCAAGAGAAGCGGGGATTGCCCAGGGAATACCATCATAGCCGGGTGCCGAAGAATGTCAATTTGCAGGAGGAGTATGAAAGTCATCCGGGTAGGGAGATCACCACCTTGATGACCCTTGTGCCGACAACACAAGAACCTTTGTGTTCTTGTTTCATTTCTGCTCTTGTTTTTTCAGCTTTGCAATACATTGACACCAGGTTGTTGCTTTTGTGAGGATTCGCAACATTCCGAACCGCTATACACAGCAGGAGCAAGGGGTCATAAATTTAGTGCAAAGCCTTTGGACACTCAATTTTGAAAATTGCTCAATCCAAGTATCCAAGTGCAGTTTCTTCAGCAGATGCCTGTTCTGCGCTAGGAGCTTATTGCTGAGCTGGAAGATTTGGGCTTTGCTGGTAGCTTCAATTTCTTGTACATTCCTCTCGACAAAGGAACTATGTCAAACGTGGGCTATGCATTTGTGAACTTTGTGAACACGGACTGGGCCAACCGGTGCATTTTGACCTTTCAGGGGTACCGCTTCAAACGACATCGCAAGTCTTCTGGGAAGATTGCAGCGATCTCTACTGCACACCTTCAAGGTCTCGAGGCGCAGGACCATGGGACCATGGGACAGGGGATCCCAAGACTAATTGTAATGGCCTCCAACTTACTAGCAATGGCCTCCAACCTAAGAGCGATGGCCTCCAGCCTACCTGTCGAAGCCGGTCAGCAGCATCTAGGAAGACTTCACCCTTGTGCTTCGCTGCTAGCTTATGTTTGCTACTGGCTCGCAGCCCCCTTCTACCTCTTCACGGCCTACCTCGCCAAAGAAGAACACATCCGAGTTTAGATACTAAGCAAAAGGAACAAAACATGATGAACAAAAAAGCCCAAGACCCACTGAATCCCACTGAAATCTTTGTGAGGCCAACTTGGCGCACTATGAGAAATCAGCTGTGAACACTGCGAAGCTGAAGCACCGCCGGCCGGTAGTCATGGCAAATATTTCGACAGGCCTAAACAGTGTGGCCTAGGGCCCAAAGACGACATGGGCTGACATGCCTGGACCTTATGTTTTTGTTGCAGAAACGTGTATATATATATAGTATATAGCATAGTAGCATCTCCAAAGCAAGAGGGAAGAACACAGCAGGACAGTTGCAGCCAACGCTTGTGCTAGTTTTCGAGAGTTCGTTGGCGGTTCTTCATGCTCCAGTATGGGCAGCGCAGTTGATGATGTTTCGGATTGTATATTGTAGGGGTCAGTGGATGACGACAGACGGTCCGGCCTGATTTTTGTAAGTTTGAATACCGCTCTTTTATGCTGGCAGTCTTGCATTCAGGCCGAAGTACTCCAAAAATGTTTGATCCAGTCACCGACCAGTCTCATGTTTGATTCGAGGGAGGCAAGCGAGAGATACATGGCCTGAAGTGCACAGATATTTTGATAGGCCAGTCACTATTATTGGTTAAGTATCATGGGTTGGATCTTGCTGAAGGTTTGCTTGGGAAGCTCTTGTCAGCAGTGCTTTGACCTTCAACCTATGTTTGAGGTGAGTAGATCCAAGCCAATGAATATGCACGGACTGGCAAGAGCAATCGAAATAAATGTAATTGCCTTGCTAATATACTGTAGCGAACATTGATCGCAGAACGGCAGGTTGGCGGGTCCATTGCTTTCAGCAGGATTGAAGATTAACTATGACATGAGAATTATATTGATACAAGTAGTCCTGTACAGGGGAGTGGGCCTAGAGATGGTCTTCAATTGTCTCCCGTCTCTTCCATGCAAACTACCTTGCCTGCAATGAATACAAGACCATGCCGCAAATAACTGTTCCTCTTATGCAGGGCGTGGGAGGCCCTGGGTGAGTCCAATCTGACAGCTCTGGCAGAAGAATGAGATCCATCAAGTTCAGTTTCCGAGAGCTTCCTTGAAGAAGCGTGAGCTATCCTGCATCCAGTTGTATACTAGAAGCTTAAGTAGCTAGTAGCTTGCTCCCTTACTAATTAAGTAGGCGTCTACTTGAGCAAGTATGGAGGCAGGGCCACGGGCCCAAAAAAGAAATAGAAACATTCTTTTGTTTGAGCTGTGACTTGCCAATGCCAAGGTACAAAGAAGACTCTTGAACTGTAGGCCGTCGACAAAGCTTCGATACCACAGGATGCCTACCTAGGCGAACATGTCGAATGCGGCGTGAGAGTAGACTTGGCTCAGGACTTGGCTCTTTGAGTCGCCCAAAGACGAAATAGTAGATGCAGCAGCACCGTTGTCTATAAAAGCTCTCCCTTCGGCGACATTTGGCTGTGGGTCAAACCCGGGCACCCTGGTTGACCACCGAAAATGAATAAATTTCTTTTGGCATCGCTACTAGTAACAAGGTGCTACTAGGGGCTCCTGGCCTTACTACCAGGAGCAAGGATGCTACTAGGAGCAAAGGGCATCGCTACTAGGAGCAAGGACGCTACTAGGGGCTCCTGGCCTGACTACTAGGTACTAGGAGCAAAGGCATCGCTACTAGGAGCAAGGATGCTAGTAGGGGCTACGTTAAGGATGTCAACCTACCATGGCTTGGTGGGGGAGGTTTTGACTCACAGCAAATGGCACCAGTTTTTGAATGTTTGGCCATGGGCGACTCGACACTGCTGAGTATGCTTGGGCATGTCAGTGGACGCTGCTATGGTCCTGCATGTGGCACCTTTTGTAGTTTCAGCTTCTTATTTTTTCAATCTTGTTATGTGGCAAGGGATGATGTTATGCTTCAGGAGGAAGAAAAACATCTTTGTGGGTCCATTTCGCGTGGCCAGTGTGGGACGGTCAATTATCACCCTCGTTAAACAGCTTTGGAGGGAGGAAATTCGACCGTGTGAGGTGACATAATGGGGAAACGGTTCTCAATTTGGAACCTTCAAGAAAACCCTCGTGGTGTATTGGAAGGGCCGTGCATCCAATGTGCTGTTCTGTGGCGCCACATGGCATCAGCGTCCTTTTAAGCAGTGTTGTGCACACTGCTAGGTGAATGCCGTCTGCATGCTGAACAGTTGCCAATTGAGGGACACTCTCAGAAAAGTGCGACAACATGTATTGGATGTTTGGAGATTCAATTCCTAGTATATAGCTTCTTGTTCCTAGTAGTAAGGCCAGGAGCCCCTAGCAGCGATGCCCTTTGCTCCTAGTAGCTTCTTGTTCCTAGTACTTTGACAGCAAAAGCCCCAGATGTGCTCAATGGTTCCTGGAGGTGAACAGCGATTGCCTCGCAGCTGCGGTGCAAGCCCCTTGTGAAAGTCTTAGTCCATCCTAGCATCGCCATAGCTTCAGTGGCCAAAAGTTAAGAAACTGGCAGAGTGAAGGTTGCAGCCCAAGCAGAGCCCAAAGCTTGGCCATGAGACTGCTTTGGTCTACATGGAGGTAGGCAGCTTGTGAGAGATTTTCCTTGTTTCAGAGACTCCGTGCGCCTCTTAAAGGCTTTCTGAAGGCTTCATGCGGCTTCGAATTGTGTTGGACTTGCAGGACCAGCACAGGCCGCGATCAAGCAGTGGCGGGGTGTCGACCTTGGATGCCAGGAGCAACCATGAAACGGTTTTTAGATTTGCCCAACGTCTGATCAATCAGAGTGCAACTCAGTGCAACATAGGAATGGGAGACAGTCAGGATATGGACAAACATGATTGGCCTTGTGGGAAGCTTGTGTGTGTCACCCGAACCCATGGACTAATCCGAGGGCTTCAGAGATGGTGGCTTCGTTGAGACACCACAGCTTACACAGCTCAGTGCGCCCTGAAGCCAGACAAGAGATGTTTAGAGGATACAGTGTGGAATCCAGATCCCGTTTTCCAACTCATTGGCCTGTTTGTATAGCCTTTCAAGTGGGTTTGGACAGGTGCGATGCTGAAGGTTGTGGACGCCGGCGATCGCATCATCAAGGCACTAAAGACCCTAGTAGCTTCTTGCTCCTAGTAGCGATGCCAGGAGCCCCTAGTAGCTTCTTGCTCCTAGTAGCGATGCCGCGATGCCCTTTGCTCTCCTAGTAGCGTCCTTGCTCCTAGTAGTAAGGCCAGGAGCCCCTAGTAGCTTCTTGCTCCTAGTAGCGATGCCGCGATGCCCTTTGCTCTCCTAGTAGCGTCCTTGCTCCTAGTAGCGATGCCGCGATGCCCTTTGCTCCTAGTAGCGTCCTTGCTCCTAGTAGTAAGGCCAGGAGCCCCTAGTAGCTTCTTGTTACTAGGAGCGATGCCAAGAGAAGTTTGTTGAAGTGAGTGTGATCCTGGTCCTTGCAAGGGGCGCCTTGAGCTGTTTGCTTGTTCACGTCGAAAGTTAACAGTTGTGCCGTCCTCAGAGAGTTGCACAGCTTGTGCCTGCGGCTTTTAACTGAAAGTCACAAGACCTGTAACTTGGCTGCAACAGTGACCTGCACTGCAAGATTTCCGTTGCGATCTCTGTGACTTTGGGGTTGAGACCTCTGCTAAGCTCCATACCTCACGCAGCAGACCAAAAGAAGATTTATTTACGTGATATTGAATCTTTTTCTCTAACACATCACTCCACATATTCACCAATTTAATGGACTTTGTGCTACACAGTAGCACTGCTTTCACTCCTTTTCGTCTCTGTCATTTCTTTCTGCCTAAAGTATTTTGTCTTGAAGCACTAGTGTAGCCTCAAGAATGCTTGAAGCGTTCTCATTTCCCTTGGCTCACTTCACCCATTCAACCTAGCATTTTTGCCTAATTGCTGCACATTACCACACCCTGCAACACATGGCCCCAGTCTCTTTCAGCTATAGATTTCTGCAGAATTATTTCTTCTCGCTCGTCACTATATATATATATATACACACACACACCTTGTCTTTCACCTACTTTGTGACTCCCATGTGTAGCTATTTGGCCACAAATCGCAGGGAGCTATCCCACCTTTTTTCAATTTCATCAACCTTTTAGCTTCAGGTTAAACAAAATATGTTACACAATCACATTTCGCAGAGTGATTTTTTCCCCTAACCTCCCAGGGCCAGCAGCATGACCTTGAGCTCCGCTGCCCAGAGAGCTTGGCAGATTCGCCCCTGGGGTCCCTGGCCTCTGAAGGCTCCCAGAGACTTGGTGGTCAAGCAAAGTGGCGAAACGAAAAAGGATTCAAGATGCTTCGTGAAAGAAGTAGTAGTTAAGTCCATGTGTGAGGCCGGCTTGCCTGGTAGGAATTTGGAAGTTCGGAATGTTGGAACTCGATCTTCGGCATAAGGATTTTGCTCTCAAATCTCCGGACGCTGATGTCCCGGACTGAGCACACATTGAATTACTGTATTTGTATATATATATATAGAGATGTACGTAGATGTACTGAAAAGACTATCAGAGGGCTGGCAGAGCTAGGAATCTGACTTGCTTCTTTCCCTAAATTGGCAAGGAGTTGGAGCAGATGCTTCCTTGCCAAGGTCCTTACTGTACGTCGACTACGACTGCACTCATTTGTATCCGACTGACTTTGAGCGCTGCACTGACAAGCATGCGGTGGCGGCTTAGCGGAAGTTCAGGCTGTCCAACGTGTGTACCTGAAGAATCCATGCCCAGTCTTGTTTTGCTGTGGCTGTTTATGCAAGCTCAGGTTACCTCCATAAATCATAGCCTTGTACAGATCGTGGTGTTCTTAGATTGTGTTTCGTTTGCTTCTTCATGAGTTCGACAGTCTCCTAGGTGGACCGTGTCCACAGTGGCTTTCTTGCTGAATTCTGGCAGGCACCTTTCCCTCAAGTGTGCTGAATTCTTGCAGTCTAGAATCGACTTGGAGTTCCTTTCAGGCAGTGCAAGAAGCGATAGACATCATCGGATGTGAAGTGTTCGCTTTCCGACCGACGCCCGAGACTTTTCTGTGATACTTGATGGACATCGCAAGACTTTTAGACGAACACTGAGACATATAACCTCTGATTTGCGTCATGTTTGCTGCACTAGTGGTCCAAGGTCTACAAGCTTTGAACCTACAGAACATGCACTCATGTCCTGGCCTAAGCTACTGTGATGGATGAAGCCGATGCTAGGTCTTGATGCTGGCTAGTTTATTCCTTTTAGAAGACTTGCTTTGTGAGGTCTTTCCATTACTTCTTCGCTGACCTACAGAAAAGTCGCATTCTTTTCATAGGCCTGCTGAAATGCATCATATATATATATATGATATGATATGCTATGATGTGATATGATATGATGTGACATGATATATATACATACACAACGTATTGTTTGCATTTTGTTACAAGACTTGCGCAGGCAGTGTCACGAAGAGTCGGCGGAGCGCCCGTGGAGGTCCCGACTCCGACAGTGACGTGCAGCTGTCTCAGGACTGGAGGAGGTGAAAGCGTAGACACAGGCAGCACAACAAGGTCATTGCATTGTTATATAAATATATGGTACCCCCCCCCAAAAAAAGAAACAAACAATATTCTTGCTGTATTTCAGTGGTAGTTACACTTAATTCTGCACATTCTGAGGTCCTTTTTTGGTGGATGGTACCCCCAAAGAAGATGTACCTTTTTCATATGTGTGTAATACTGTTTCCAAGCCAAGGTTGATGAATCAGTTGATGAACACAAACACTTCTAATAATCAAGAAGCAGACACATTGAATAGAAAGTTGATATATAGGTGTTGTTAACATTTCTTAACTATTGATTGCTGGAGCAGGAAGCCTCAACATCCAATAAGAAAGAGCTTTTCATTTAAGCATTAAGAAGAAGCAATGGAATACCACGCAGAATACAGTTGCAGGTTGAATACGGACGATATTTTTGCGAAAGAGAAACCACTCCATCCATGTCATGTATAGAACACTTGATCCCGGAGGCCTTTTGTGGTCGAAAACAGCTCGCATGGTAGCGGAGCTGAGAAGGCTGACGAAACTGTCAGCTGGAGCTCCAGGCCTTTAGGTGCGCCCGTGCCCACCCATAGAACTAGTGTGGCAGTTCGCTCGCAATCAAAGCCTGTGATTACCTGAAGAAGATCCACGAGCTGCCCTACCCGGTGGTGAAGGTTGGAGAGAAGACATGTTGCCTGATCCTGTCAGAAGAGGTTCGAAGCCAGCTGGAGAGCGAGATGGACGAGTCAGACATGACTGGTTTGGCCCAAGCGGTCATGGCAGCGGCAAACGCTGCGGCTCAAGCAGCTCAGGCGGCAGCATCCAGTGGAGGAGCTGGGGCGAGTTCGGGAGGTGCAGCGGGAGAGCAAGGGATCCTGAAACGAGACCTGGCAAAACTGATCCCACGACCTAGTACCTTCAACCCTACAGATAGGGAACAGGAAGTTCTGCAATGGAGGGATTGGTACTGGACGGTCAAACAATACCTGGTTGTTGTAGATTGTGCATTCCAAGATGAGTTGGAGAAGCTGGAATACAATTTGACAACAGAAGTGGACTGGGAATTGTTGGACGAAGGTGAACAGCAAAGAAGCAGGTTTCTGTATAGCTTGAGCCTCGTACAGGGACGGTTGACAGGGGTCATCAAGAATGTGGAGAAGTTCAATGGCATGGAAGCACTTCGACAGCTGCTGATGAATTGCCAGGCCCAAGCCAGGAACAGGACAATGAACCTCCTGCAGGGTATAATGTCTTACCCAAGCTTCAACATGAAGAATTCCTTGCTGCCTCAGATCCTCAAGCTGGAAGAGCACTACATGCAGTACGAGCGCCTTGGAGGGAAGTTGTCACCAGACATGAAGTCGGCGGTTCTCCTCAGGGCAGTTTCTGGTCAGATGAAGACACATTTGAACGTGAAGTTGAATGAAGGAAGCTCGTGCAGCAAGATCCGGGAGGCCATCATCGCCTTTGACACTGCCACCACCAAGTGGAATGAATCTGGAGCCCTGACTTTCACCAGTTGGACAGACCCCAATGGCCCTATTCCCATGGAGATCGACCGTATCAAAGGAGATGAGAAGAAGGGTAAAGGGAAGACGAAAGACAACACAGGGAAGTCAAAGGGCAGGATGACAGGTTTAAAGGAAAAGGGAAAGGTGGCAAGCTAGGCGGTAAAGATTGCAAAGGCAAAGGAGGTGGTAAAGACAACAAGGGTGGAAACGGCAAGAGTTCCAACGAAGTGTGTTGGACCTGCGGCAAACCGGGGCATATATCAAGAGATTGTTGAGAATGAGGCAAATTGAAGCTCCAGCAACACAAAGCATTGCAGGGTCCCACACTACGTCGCCTTCTACCACTTTGACGACAAGCGCAACGAGTGGAGGAGGTGGTGATTCCAGTGCAGGCGCCAAGAATATCAGGCGTGTTTCACAGCCAGTGATCTTCGACTTGAGAGAAGGGAGTGAAGCTGGTTCATTTCGAGTGGTGAGTCAGGTTGAATTTTTCAACATTGCCTCAGAGGAAGAGGATGAGTACGACGGCTGTAAGGTCAACACCATTGCAGAGACCGATGATGAAGAGGAAGCCCGCGAAGCTGGTGAGATGGATGAAGAGTTGCAAACACTGAAGGTGATTGTGGACTCAGGGGCAGACGCCTCAATCTTCCCCGGAAGACTCATGAGGAACACCAGAGGAGGTGATCAAGTGTTGGGAGCAGCGCTACACCTACAAGATGCTCAGGGCAAGAAGATCCAGAGTTATGGCCACAAGGACGTAGACATCGTGATGACGACGTCTGAAGGTCAATCTGTGGTCTTGAAGGAGAAGGTGACATTCAGCGACATGGTGAACCAACCCATCTTGTCTTTTGGCCGGTTGATGAGAAGTGGATGGTCGATAGACGGGCAACGACAATGCCTGCGAAATGGGAGCCTGGAGGTGCCTTTGGCGTTTCAGAACCAGAGTTTGGTGGTGGAAGCCTCAGTTCGAGTCATCGCTGAGCCGATGGTGGTTCGCACGCTGGCAGCCAGGCTGAGTGATGACGTTTGTGGCCACTGAAGGTACTATCTCAGAGATGTTTGGCTTCGAGATTGATGAGGCCATTCAGCTTGGTCCCAAGCCAGCGATGGATGAGCTGGCCATTTCCCAGGCTCAAGATGAAGAGATGGAAGAGCTTGGGGGCATGGACGTTCGTGGAGGTGAAGAAGATCCCAACCCAGGGTGTGACTTGGAACAACAAACGGTTCGATATGAGATTGGTGTGGCCCTTCCAGAAGAGATTCGCGTGAATGAGATCCCATTGACTGTTGACAGTCCTCTACGGAGTTTGAGAGCAGCATGTGCATTCTACCAAATCGGGCAGAGTGGCGGAAAGAGAAAATGCTTCAGTCGCCTGGTAGCCCATCAAGGAGTTGATGATGGCAAGAGATCTAGCAGCGAGAGGGCAAGCTATGAACCAGAGGATTCCTTTAGAGCAAGTGTCGGAAAGGAAGGCGCATGAGCTCACGCACGTGCCCTATGCCCCATGGTGTCCCTCATGCAGCAAGCATCGTGCCAGACCTGATCAACGCAGGCGAAGTGGCAAGTCCCACGACCAAGGATGCCCTACAATCTCCTTTGATTTCTGCAAAGTGAAGGCTCGAGGTTCAGGAGGTGTTGGGGAAGGAAGAAGAGGAAGACGCTGCCCAAGAAGGAGTTCAAGATGATGAAAGTGGTGCACTACTGATGGTTGCAGTGTGCTCAGAGACAGGCTCATTGCTTGGGTTGCCCCTCAAGTCAAAGAATCAGATGAACCTGATCACCCATGAGCTTCTGGCATTCTGTGCAGTACTACTGTGACAATGAGCCAACGGCAAGACAGATTGTATGCCTCTTGGTGTCCTCGAGAACAGCTATGGGGTTGAAGACCACCTTCTACCAAGTTGTATGACTCAGCTGGGAACTCATTAGCCGAAAATGCAGTGCAGCAAGTTCTAGGCTTAGCAGCATCAATGATGGAGAGCCTGGCAGAGAAGATTGGACTTCGGTTCCAGCATCAGCATCCACTATGGTCTTGGGCATGCCGCCACGCCGCTTGGACTTTGAACAGATATCAGGTTCTGAGGGACTACAAGCTTCGAGTTGACCCATGGCAAGGCCTACGATGGGAAGATGTGCTCATTTGGAGAGGTGTCTTCGCCTACTCCAAGCAGAAGCAAGGCTTGAAGGCAGATCCAAAGTGGAAAGTGGGCATTTGCTTAGGCAAGACAGAGGTGCAAGATGCCTGGGTCATCGGAGACGGCAACAGAGTCTTCCTCAGCAAGTCGATCCGAAGAGTGGCAGACGCAAGCACCAAGTACATAGCTTGCTACCAAGGCTTTACAGCGTACTCATGGGAATACCAACAGAACTTTGGAGGCCGCATGGTTCCTTCGAAGAGGTGGCAACCATGGTGGGAGGTCCGTTGTTGGGTCTTCCTTCACAAGGGACAGGAGGAGTTGCTCGACATGATGAAGATGCGAAGGAAGTCATTGCTTTCTCGAGGTCCTATGCAGGCAAGTTGGAGGAGGTGAAAGATCTTGTAGATGTTGAAGAGAAGAAAGCGGAGACATCCAAGGAGTTGAGCGAGGAACAAAGGCTTGCAGAAGATAAGAAGTTGGACTATGCGGAGGAGAAGGTCACGTTGCCAATGATAAACTCAGAGACCCCAATATGGTGGACGAAGCACACAACCAAGCAGGACCTTCAGCACCGGCGACTACACCAAGAGGAGCCCCGCACAGAAGAGCAGCTTCAGCGTGGAAGGTGGAGAAGGAGACCCAAAGAGAATGAGCTCTCTCCCAGCAAAGCAGTGCATTTGAGTGAAGTGAAAGCTCAGAGTCAAAGAGGTTGAAGATTGGAGATGAAAAGCCTCAAGTGGAGAGAAGAGCGCAAGCCACAGAAGTAGGAGATGACGTCTACTACCGCGTGGACCAGTTCTTCGGTGAGGAGGAGTTCCTTGCGTGGGATGGAGAAGCTGAAGATGTGGCCATGACAGGCGTTCCAGAAGCACTATGGTCGTCAGCGCCTTTGGATAGAGTCCCTGCAGATCCACAACCTTGGATCGATGAGCTAGCAGATGAAGTTGAAGAACAAAGACTTCTGAAGACGAGTGTGTTGGAAACTATGGAGGGCGAGAAGACTGGCTTCAAGAAGTTGACAACGAGATTTGTCAGGGATTGGAGAGTCAAGCCACGTCAAGACCTTCCGGGAGCGCTCGAGAGTATGCAGTGGACAGAAGAGATGATGTTCACAGTCCGGCAACTGGAGGGCTTGCGGATGCGGCGTCTACTTGTCTCAGGAGCGAATGGATGTTTCCTTTGCAATCAAAGAGCTAGCGGCTAGCGTCCTCAATGGCCTGCCCTACAACTGGGAGTTTGAGAAAGCTTGGAAAGTTGGTCGGCTACCTGAAGGGAACGATGGGGCAGTACGGCCTTCTTCCATACCCAGACCCAGGGCGTGGACACGCCGCCAGAACTACAACTTCGAGATGGCTGCTAGAGACTTTCACCGACAGTGATTGGTCAGGAGCAAAGGGTCATCGCAGGTCAACGTCAGCAGCAGTGTACATGTTGAATGTAGTACTGACAAGCTCCAGGGGGCAGAAGTCAGTGTCCCTAAGCTCAGCTGAGGCAGAGCTGAATGCTTTGGTGAGTGGAGCGGCCGATGGCATCTACTTGCGAAGACGGTTGGAGTTTCTAATGAGGAGAACATCACGCACTACTATTTGGTTGACAATTCAGCAGCGCTCCATTTGTGCCACAGGAAAGGTCCTGGAAAGCTTCGACACATTGCAGGAAAGCTGCTTTGGATCCAGGATATGGTGGCTCAGGGAGATCTTGAAGTCAAAGCTGTGGGCACGGTGGCCAATGTGGCAGACTTGGGGACCAAACCCTTGTCCAAGACGCGAGTGAACCTCATCTTGAACTGGTGCCAGATTTACAATGGTGATGGTGAACTACTTGGTCAAGAAGAGCATCGACAACTCGAAGAAAGGACCGAATCTCGCTGTGGAAGGCCTTGAGCATGTGGCTGGAGAACGGATGGATGTGAAGGAGGAGATCACCGTGACCAACTACAGCGAGTGGCTATGGATCTTCTTCATGATCTTGATTGCAATGATTGCCGCGCTGGTTTTCGGCATGTACAAGCTCTGGAAGAAGCTTGAGAGAATGGGGGCCAGACTGCAACAAGTGGTTGAAGACGTGAAGGTGGACGGCATGATGTTGGAGCCTATGGTCATGAGGCTCAGGAAGGAATAGCCCAGTTGAAGAAGTATGTGGAAAAGGTGCACAGGGGCTTGATCAAAGCCTCGGGCTATGTGGACGATGATGATGTCAAAGAAGAAGACTGGAGGCGTTGGAACTACCTCCAGGAGACCAACAAGGAGTTCGACGCGAGAAGGCTCGACAAGCAAGTCAAAACCTACCTTCAGATGAATGTTGAGCAGACGCGTCGACGCTTGAACATACGGGGCAACACTTTGAGGGATGAAGAAAGTGAAGAAGGAGAGCGTGATCCAGAAGATCTAGTACAAGTCAGGCTGGACTCTGGTGAGGTAGTCACAGTGAGAGCCAGAGATCTACAGCCCAGAGAACCAGAAAGCGAAGAGGAAGGACCAATGCCAATGCAAACAGAACCAGAACGAGCACCAGACCAAGCAGTGGAAGCACGTGGCAGAGGCAGTAGAGGTCTTGAGTTTGAGGATTTGACCCTGACAGCACCAACTACCAGATGGCTCACGGATGCCGAGATGGTTGAGGTGAGCGAGTATGACAAGTCAGGGGCAAGATCCTGCCTACGAGCAAGCAGTATGCATTGCAGTTTGAGAAGAGATGGTTCGAACTGAACCAAAGAGGGGATAGTGAAAGCGAGATGGAGATGTATGCCAGGATGGATAAACACATGACCTTCCTGGACAGCGAAGACTTCCCCTTTTGAAGAGACGGTCTCACGAGCCCGAAACTTGGCTCACGATACCAAGGAGGAGTGCGAAAGAGAAACCACTCCATCCATGTCATGTGTAGAACACTTGATCCCGGAGGCCTTTTGTGGTTGAAAACAGCTCGCAATTTTTGATTTTTGTTTTCTGGATTTCACAAGAAACATGCAAATTCCAAATCTGCAAACTCTATGTCTCCAAAGTGGCTCCGTCTTTTGTTTCTTTTGTTTTTGTGATGAAAAAATCTAATTTTTGAGTAGCGAAAGCGTGCAGGTTTTGGGTGGAGAAGGTTGATTAGGTTGAGGTGTGGGCGAATTTTGCTCAAGGTTCTGAGCGGCCACACCCCCTTTCAGTGGGCACTGTGCCGAACCTCCGTGTCATGGCCAACATGGCCGTGCTTTCAAGGCCACTCTCAACCTCGTCCGAGTTCCAGTGACGCGCGCCAGCCCGCGAACTCAATGAGGTGGAAGCCATACAATTGGCTTTGACACGGCGTGTTGCACGAGCTTGCTTTGGGATGGGGACAATTTTAATAGGACAGGGTAGACAGGGTAAAAGAGACATACCTGAGGAATATTGATTAATGCACAATGGTTTATGGATAACATAACCATTCAATGTAATCAATGTGGATGTGGACTTACATCAGATATCAAAACGGGTAGTATATCAACAAGTCTGACAGTCCAAAGAAAGGATAATGAAATTTGTCATACTTTAGATAATTGCGTTGCTTACTGTCATAGATGTAATAGCAGCTGTAAATGAATATTTGTACAAAAACATGTTCATTGTATACATATACGGTATATTGTATGAACAGTATTTACTGTACAGAAATTGTGGGTATACATAACACGTAATGGGCATTACTAAACAGTATTGCAAAAAAATCAGAATAACAGAACATTTAATAGAACTAGGTATTGGATACTATTAAGCAGTATTGCAAAGGATTTCAGAATAACAGACGATTAGATAGATTTACTGAAGGGTTGAGAACCTGCGACAGTTGTAGAACCAAACAACCAAAATGATATTACAAAAAATCAGAACACCACCAACAACAAAGGAAAAACTTGAAGGAAAACAACCCTGAAAGAGTAAGGAAGCAAATGAAAGAGCAAAAGCAAAGGCATTAATTAGAACACAATATTATTGCCCATTAAAGTGAATGTGATGTCCAGTGGTGTAAAGAATCCCAACACGAAAAGGGAACCTTTCATCAAGAGAATGTCAGAAAACAAAATCACCCAGAAGAGTTTCAAAATTAAGTGAGCCAGACAGTAAACGCTTTGACAATCAGGGGTGCACATGTTACGTATAGCTGTATTGCTTGCAAATGTCATCAAATTTGGCCTTATCAATGGATACAACACATAAGGACTGAAACACATAAACGCAACAAAGCAGGTAAATTGCCTTTTAGGATGATCTAATGTTCAGGTGCTTCTGCGAAATGCTTTTTGCTTCACAATATGCCTTGCAAGCCCAAAAAGGTAGGTTTGGGGGGGGCATGTGAAACCGTAGTCAGTCGTGTGTTTATTGCAGCATTTCATGGACTCAGCTTCTTCCTACTGGCTCGCCGTTTTACTTGGAATGGACGAAAGCGCTCCACTAGCATGTAAAAGCTCATACCATTCGCTTCTTTTTCAGCATCCACCTTCACTCCATGGAAGTTTGAAGTGGCAAAAAAGGCTGTGAGGCCTTGAGGTGAAGGCCTTGCACATGCGTTGGGGCAAGGACTCTGCCTCCGAAGACTCCAAGGGACGCAGCAGTGAGATGGGCTCCAGCCTACAGGAACCTGTTCAGAACTTGTTCAACATGTCGACGGTATTGACGGGGCTGTTCGTGTCGATCTCGCACCTGCCTCAGGAGGGCGAGTTTGCGTTCAGTGATGGCAGCGATGATGCGATGCAACCATGAGGGGCAACGAGGTTGCAGATGCATTGCAAGTGGGATGTTGGAAGATTTGATCGAAGAAACTCGTGGACCTAGTGACCTAGTGTTACAAACTTGCAATCTGCAATTCCTGATTTGATTGAGCCTTGGATGCTGTACATTTAAAGCGGAGTTTGCATGACTTCAGAGCTTTGCAACAGAAGAGTGCAGCAGCTTACTTACTCAGTTTACTCTCCCCGTTGCCAAACCAGCTGAGGGCGGCCAACTTTTGGAACCACATCTTACAATGCGCACGTTATGCTAACCCCCCCCAAAAAAAGGCACGATGTTGAGCGCTGGATGGGATGAGCTTTCAATGGTGTCCACCCACAAGATGTCCGCCGCGATCACTTCGTTGAAGTCCAACGGAACCGACCCTATTACTAGGCCAGGCTCAACGTTTAGGGGAAAAATCCGTAGAGGGCTGAGGTCGTCCATATTTGCAATAGAAAAAGAGGCCACCTCAGGAAGTGCCTCAGCTTCTAAATTGCCAGCTGAGTAGCGCAGCTGGGTGGTGGAAAGCTCTGGAAATTGTTTCTTTAAGCAGCTGCTTTCCAGCCAGTCACAAATGGGATGTCGGTGAACTTTAATTCCTGGCAAGACCATTTTGGTTTCACGTTCTACACATTCTTTGCAATCGAAAAGACGGAGCCACAACGTGGTAGAGGCTTCTAGTCTTGCAACTGTTCTATAAGCAACACAGCAGCGCTGGTTCAGTTTTGTTGGTTGATGAATGAATCAAGCTTCAATACGTCTTTCAATATCACCTGAAACAGGTGCATTGGGGATAGCTTGGGCAAACGGTACGCAATGAGTGCAATACGTTGGATTCCGTTGGATGTCCCTTCAAAAAGCCAGTTCACTTCGTGGGTTACTCATTGCGATCGCATGCCAACGTGTGGTTGTGGGGCGCCGCCATCGGATTTGAAATGGAGAAATGGGCGTGGCAAAGCACGCGTTTGGTGGCCAAGCAGATCTGTGGTGTCAAGGATGGTCTTGCATTTGACTCTGCGTTTGCCACGTTAGTTGAGCGGCAGTGTTCAGCCAAGGTTCGAAACCATTGCAAGTTGATGCGTGGCATGCCACTGTATATATCATTTTGTTGGACTTCAGAACTCCAAAAGTATAACATTTTTTGTTTCTGTTTAAAACTTTCACAAAGCTTAGACTAAATTTGTAGAGAGTCAAGTGCTCCTTATTTGAGTCACTTCGTCATGACAACCCTCTACAACGGATGATGTTCGACCGACTTTGATTTAGCTTCCATTTTTGCGTCCAAACTTCAAACACTCCACTGAGCCCTTTTTTAAACCCGGGCTAGTTTTGCTCATCCAGTGTGGGCAGCCGTCGCAAAGCGACCCGAAAAGTTTCAAGTCATAATGCAACTCTTCGATCTTTTGCAAACTGCCTTTCTGTATACCGATTACACATGTTTACGCCGCGTGCACCGACTTCATGAGTGAAACGGAAACGTGACTGGTGTTGTACCGGGCACACAGGCCTATATATAAATACGGCGAGAAAACCCTGAGTGAAAATGCAGTGAGAACTACGCGAGTTGCACCTTCCAGGAACAACGTGTGCACCTTGCACAAAGCGCGCACATAACTTTGCAAGCCGCAAAAGGCATTCGTTGCCAAACCAAGGAATGGCTGCATATGAGCAACCGCCAAACCGTGCAATGACTAATTTTAGTAAAAAGCGGTGGAGAATCTTAGGAATTAGGCTAAAACGCTTAAACCTGCAAAAGCGATCCCCTTAAAAGTGATAAGCCCGTTTCCGCAGTTTTTTGATGTGTTCAGCTTTGTTGACATTGTGGCTAAAACCTGCAAAAGCGATAGGCCCCCTCGAAAGCTGAATCATGTCCTTTGATTGACAGATATTGACATTGACAGTACGTTTTGGCAGACGCTCATGTAGCCCTTGCCGCAAGATGCGTTGTATTGAAGCATCCAGGGAATGGATCAGCAAAATCATTCTAACTGTGTCGCAACTCTTTGTCAAAATAAGTGGAGGTCTGTGGATCCAAGTCAAGCTTCCGTTGATGGAATCGAACGGCCATTTCGCAAAGAATCAGTGGAAAACCTGCAAAGTGGCTGAGAAACCTGCAGGTCGTGACCCACTCATGTTCAGAACCATCCAGTTGTTTGGCACAGCAATCTTTTTTGGTATTTTAGGCTTCTCGGTACAATGCAATAATATCCCAGTCTCTTCACCTCTGTTTTCAGAGTTTGGTAACATTTGATGCACTGATGCTAGCCACTTCGCACTGCATCATCGGCCCGAAGTTGAATCTTGGGGTAGGTGAAAGAGTCCTTGCAAGTTCTTGGCAGTGAGGCCAGCTTTGCGATCCTTCGCGAAGTTTCAATCACTGGTACCATGGGCAGCTGCAAGCTCTGGAGTGATGAGCTAGTGCTCCAAACAATGAGCTGGAATCCACTCAATTGTGAATGGAGCAGGATGTATCATCGATGTCTAACTAAGGCTGCAAGCCACTGCAACCATTCATGACAAAGCCCTTCCTCCTCGACTTGACCAGTGCAGCCGAAACTGAGCAAGTGCACATGCTTGAAGGACTGCCCAAAATTTGGCTACACATGCACTCAAGGAAATATGGTTCACAAGGCCTTTTAAAATAACTTGCGACTGGCCATCCACAATTGCGAATGTGGCTATTGTCAGCCAGAAGCGATCACCCCATAGTACTGAGCCATTTGTCCAAACCTCAGCAACTTTGTAGGAACAGAACGATCATGCGGGTCAGAAAGCAAAAATCCGGTGGCTGTAGATCATGCGGGTCAGAAAGCAGCAACCGTCGCTCCAACAAATAATGTGCACAGGTGGTCCAATATGGTTGTGCACACTGCACTCGTGAACGAAATGGTGCATAGACGGCATAGACTCCTCAACTTCCCCACCCCAAGATTGCCATTTGGTCGTTAGTCGTTAGTGGCTGTATACATACAGTAGGTCTAAGACTCAACGGACCTTCATTTAGGCAGCTGTTTTTTTATCAGAATAGTCACACACTTTCAGCAAAGTTTTTGGCGTCCAGACCAGAACAAATATATAGCCATAGCTAAATTCGCCTTCTCCAAATCAAAGCCAGGACAGTCTTTCTAGCTCGCGCAAAGACGTATTCTGCAACTCCGTTCCACACAAATCATAGGCAGCAGAATGTATATTGTTACTTTGTCCAGACTGATATATACCTGAGACCTGATGCATGGTGAATAGTCCAGAAGCTGAAAAGCTCTTTACAGAAGGCTGAGTGGCTTAGGTGTCTAAAGCCATGGGTTTTCTTGGTGGTGGCACCATTATTTCCTATGGCACAGCCGACTTCTTGGAATGAAATGAAAGAGCAGTGGATGCGAGTGAGCGGACGTATGCTGGAAATATTTGGACCCCACACTCTATCTTTCGAAGTGGTCAGTTTTGCACAGAACCAACGCATCTTCGAGGTTTGCTTTGTTTTTTGGTTGCGTGCAGTGGCAGCCTCAAACCCGAACTTTCGTTTCAATGCAAACTTTAAGTGGAAGACAAAGCTCGAAACGCAACATGAACGCCACCACAATTGCCTGGTGAGATCTTAGGCCGCACACCCCTGCGAATCAGAGGTGCAAAGTGCCTGCCCCGAGCGAGCCAGCTCCGAACTAGCCAGGCAAACAGCAAACATCATTGCTCGTGAAATTGCTAGCAATTCTTTTCCAATGCCTGCAGTTGATAATTGTTTTGCTATTTTGCCAAAGTAACCGGCCCTTGGTTTGCTGTACGAGCTTACTCATCTTACTCAATTTCAAGACTTGGCGTAGTGCGGGCTTTTCCTGAACGCTCAAGAGGGCATATTGCTTGTTGCTTACTCTGAGTGCTGCAGATCTTTGTTGCAAAATCTTCCGGTTTACACCCCCAACTATGAAACTGTTGCCCTTTTCTCTCCTCCTGCGTGTTGTAGGTCTGCAGGTTTTGGTTCTTTTGGATTCTTTTGTTGGATGTCTAACTTCAAGGTAGATTTGGCACTTGCCCATTCGGCATATTTCGGCATTCATCGCCTCAACTGTGAGAGGTGTCGGCAACCTGGTATCGTCTCGTGGCACTGGAGTGCTGGAGGTCATTGTGTTGTCAATGTCAGGTGCACAACATTAATTTTCAAAGCCATATGCAATTCACAAGAAGCTACTAGGAGCAAGGGCATCGCTACTAGGGGCTCCTGGCATCGCTGCTAGGAGCAAGGACGCTACTAGGGGCTCCTGGCCTTGTTCCCACACTCACGTTGAACTTGCTTATGCACCAGCTGATCCTTCTGCGGTGCTTCCTCCCGCCGCTGTTGCTGCTAGGCACATGCTCGCGGTTTCGGTTGTCCTTCTCATCTCCCCTGCACCTTTCAGGACTAGCTCTGATCACCTTCTAGTAGTCACACGACATGTGTATGTCAAGTCCATGAGACCTAGATCCTGCTCTGAATTTGCTAAGGAGACACATTAGTGTTTCCTTCGCTGGTAGGGTTGCGCATGCTGGACCTTTCTTTGGTGCCTGCTAGCTTAAGACCCAAGAGACATGCCTGTACGGAACTTGGAACCCGATTTCACCTTTGAGGGTCGAAAATACACCAGGTGCTGTACTGCTACCCTCCCAGAACACTGTGCTTGTATTCGACGACCAACAGGAAGGGTCACGTAGCTAGAAGGAGGCACAGAGGCTTTCTGAGCCACGTGGGCAGAGGAAGCCTACTCTTCGCTTGTGTCACTTGTGTCCATTGTTCAAAACACGAAGACACGGGAAGAAGGACGAGCGACATGAAGCAACGTAAAATGATCACGAAAGGTAGCCCTTTAGGGGATACCTTGAGTTTGACTTGCGAAGCACGTGTCGGCGAGTCCGGGTCTAATAATTGATCATTCAATTCAACCCCCCCCCCCTGCTATTGTTTTTTCAATACAGACCCCCCCCCCCTCCCTCTAAATTCAATTCTCCGCTGGAGAACGTCTTCGTCAGCCTCTTATGATTTCAGGATAGTTGAAACCCTCTTGAACATTCAGAAAGAGTGCATATGAAATTCTAATTACGAAATGTGTTCTCGTTAAAATACCACTCTCTCCTGGAGACCGTCTTCGTAAGCGTCTCAGTGTTCCCCGAAAGGGTCGCAAGGTGTTCTCCGAGGGGAATACATACCTAGAGTTTATTTTATTCTCGCCTGGGGCCTTTTAATTCCATTCTCTCCTGGAGCACGTCTTCGTGAGCCTCTCATGATTTCAGGATAGTTGAAACCCTCTTGAACATTCAGAAAGAGTTCACGAAAGGTAGCCCTTTAGGGGATACCTTGAGTTTGACTTGCGAAGCAAGTGTCGGCGAGTCCGGGTCTAATCACGAAAGGTAGCCCTTTAGGGGATACCTTGAGTTTGTCTTGCGAAGCAAGTGTTGGGACGCCCGGGTCTAATAATTGATCATTGATCATTCAATTCAAACCCCCCCCCACCCCCCCCCCC